CCAAGAGCTGACCAAGAAATAATTTAATTTAAAAGGTGTGGAATCTGGAAAATGTTTTTGACCATTTCCACTTCCTACAGACAACTGTATTCGTGTTGCAATAAGTAAACAAAATTGAAACTCCCGACTTTTGAAAGGCCATAATGTTTCCTTGGAAGTTAAGTATTGCCCTTAAAATACAACATACGCAAATAGACTGGAATTTAAAACAACCATAAAACGCATAGAAACACTCTACTCTGTAAAATTCCTGATCATAGTTTAGAAGTGAGGTAGCGTCGTTTAAAAGGGTTTACAAATGAAGTCTTACCAAAGCCTTTCGAGGAAACCTCTAAATTAGTAAAGCTTTCAAAAACAAAACGAATGTGAGGATCACCAGCTGACTGACCAACAGGTGATGCAGGACTGGAAATGGAAAAGTTGCTAGCTGCATGGGTGCTGGGGGAACCAGACTATGAATTAATACCTGACCCAGGAATACCAGACATTCCCGGTATATACTAGAGATCGGTTTGTGTTATTCCCTTCAATGTGTACGATTCGACAACATTATAATGTATTTATGATACGTTTAAGAAAGCTGTATCTAAAATGATATGATACAAAATATGCATATAGGGGAAAAGAAACGGAATAAAAACCAACATCAGCAACATTAGCAAGACGATATCGTGGCTTCGATCGGAACAAACACGACGAAACTATTAGCTACTGTATCTGTGAAGCGAAACAATGAAATAACAGCTGATCAAAGTATCAAGAAAAATAGATGAAATTCCTCGATTATCCGGCTACATCAACTTAATAAATAATTGATATAAATACTGGGATTTTCCATCTTCGTCCAATTCAGTCATGAGTGGAAAGTCTACTTTTCGCTTTTGAATTTTTATTCGTAAAAGAAGCTCAATCCACTATACAGCAACGTTAACTGATCTTTTGTTTCCAGTGCATGTAGGTTTACAGAAACAGTGGAGAAAATGGTATCGTGAAGATTCCAGCACAGATCAAAGACACACATTAGTATTTTCCTCTACACAGAGTTAAATTATACTCAGAGGTTCGATGAGAGGAAACATAAATATTTTCATTTTCATCCATTTCAGCCACAACAGGAAACATATCCTCCGCTTTTGAGTCTTAATTGTAAACGAAACCTACTCCGCCATATAACAACATTCACTGACCACCTTCCGTTTCTAACTGGTCTGTCGGTTTACAAATACAGCAGAATCGTGAAACTTCTGATACTGATCAAAACCATACTTTCGTATTTTTCCTGCGCAGAGTTACGATTATACCTCAGGCAAAACGAGAGGAAGCAGAAATTTTCCAACATTCTCAGTATTTTAGCTTTTGCTTTGAATAACGAAACACTTTTCTGAAAATCTCCCCCCCCCC